TTTCCCAAAAAAAGAACTATCACTCGCCTTATTCCCTCATCTATTAAAAAAAAACAAAAACAAAAATCCCCTATAAATTACTTTAGATTCTAGTTTTAAGTATCATAAATGTTTTGTTAGATTAACAAAATATTTACTTACTTCATCTTTCAGATAGACCCTCAAGTATTTAAAGACTATAAAAATCAATGTGAAAAAGATGCTTGTGATAGAAAGCAACATAGTATTCAACTAGAATACAATAGTTTATGTCAGTTTAGCAAGAATTCTACTCTAAACTAGGGTTTTTCCATATACAACAGAGAACTCTTCCAGGAAATATCCCTTTACAGGGCCCCAGGCCTCTTTGCATGCTCTCAGGCCAGGGTTATAGAACCAAACAAATACAATGTTCCCACTGGAAAATATAAATTAATATGAATTAAATCTAAGTTGACAATTTAGTACATAATAGTCTCCAAAAGAGCAAAAGGGAGTAGCATCTTGAAATCATTTCATTCATTCTAGCCACTTTCCTCAATTACTTAATTCCTTAATTTTTAAAAATAGATTTACTAGTTTGAAATCTGGCTTAGAAATTTAAAAAGTGATCAGGGTGATGGAATCACGGATAATTTTTAAAGGTCTTTATTATGTTAATCAAATTACATTTGAGAGTTACCTATATGTTCTTTTTCTCCTTTAAATCTTTGTTGAGAAGAACAAAATTGTTTCTTGCCTCCTTTTCTATATTCCCTCAGGGTGTTCTATCACTATCAGAGAAATTAAGTTCTAAAACAAATCAAAATAATCACACATATTTTTGTAAGTCCCACTGCCAGTCAAGAACAGCAAATACTAGGGAAAAAATTATCATGGCCACTCAAGAACAGCACAAGCTAAAATTTAAGTAGCAACCAAGTAGAAAAACCTTTTCTACCTCCAAAATTCATACTCTCCAGACAGAGCAGCATTTTGACATTTTTTTTTCTTCAAGACAAAAATCTACAAGTGAGAAAACTTACATCCCAAAGTGATTTTATTTTATTTTATTTTTTTAAATTTTTTTTTTTCAACGTTTATTTATTTTTGGGACAGAGAGAGACAGAGCATGAACAGGCGAGGGGCAGAGAGAGAGGGAGACACAGAATCGGAAACAGGCTCCAGGCTCTGAGCCATCAGCCCAGAGCCCGACGCGGGGCTCGAACTCACAGACCGTGAGATCGTGACCTGGCTGAAGTCGGACGCTTAACCGACTGCGCCACCCAGGCACCCCCCAAAGTGATTTTAAAAAGATTATTTTAGTTACTAAACTGAGAACCTAATGGCATTATATATTTTAGTTAATTTGAATCTACAACTTTAATTCATTTCATTCAAATCTAGTTTCCATACATGCAACTTCTGTTCCTTTGGAACTTGTTCTTAAATGATTTTTCTAGATTTTTATTATTAAAGAAATGTAGAGGCTTAAGACTACTATGCAGATCTAAACATGAATTTAAGAGTATCATTAAGATGGTCTAGTCACCCCTTGTATAAAACAACTACCAAACATGTCAAATCACTTTGCCTATCATTAATTTAAAGTAACAGTGTTTTTCTTCCATTGCAACTAAGTACATTTCCTTCTACCCTAAACAGTAGTCTGACTTTACCTAAAAATACAGACTAGAGTATTAATGTCCTAAAAATTGCTACTCATGAGAACTGATATCTCCATGTACATTTCTGCTTCTATTCACACTTGATTTGGAATTAAAACATATGCTTTTAGGGGTGCTTGGCTGACTCAGTAGAGCACACGACTCTGGATCTGGGGGTTGTAAATTCAAGCCCCGCATTGGGTACAGAGATTAGTTTTTTAAAAAAACCTTTGTAAATAAAAACAAAATGTATACTTTTAGTCTAAATGTAACTAAACCATAAAAAACAGGGTTCCATTGGAAGTACCTCCAGGAAAAAATGCAAAACTACTGTTATAGCTAAAAACCCAACTGTGCCACCTTTTCGGGTTAAATCAAAGTTCACATAGTACTAAATCAGTACATTGTACAGGACACCCTTAAAAGTCGCTTTAAGTATTACATGCAAAAAGGAAGAACAAATATTAACTTTTAGTGAGAAACAATTATATAGTATTTGTATCCTAAGTCTTCCAATGTAAATTTTAAGTTTTCTATGTATCTACCTAACAACTAGCATTTAAAATATCCTGTCATAGGGGCGCCTGGGTGGCTCAGTCGGTTGAGCGTCCGACTTTGGCTCAGGTCACGATCTCGCAGTCCGCGAGTTCGAGCCCCGCGTTGGGCTCTGGGCTGACAGCTCAGAGCCTGGAGCCTGCTTCGGATTCTGTGTCTCCCTCTCTCTCTGCCCCTCCCCTGTTCATGCTCTGTCTCTCTCTGTCTCAAAAATAAATAAATGTTTAAAAAATAAAAAAAATAAAATATCCTGTCGTAATTCCTAAGAATCTCCACACACACACACACAAAACTTTGAAAAAAAATTGGTACGAAGATCCAACATTGACTCAACAGACTATCAGAGAGCATTTATGTCCAAAAAAAATTGTTTAAGTAATCTCTACACCCAAGGTGGGTCTCAAACTCTCGACCCAGAGATCAAGAGTCACATGCTCTACTGACTGAGCCACCGAGGCTCACCTGTATTAAAAAATTTTAAACCAAAATACATACTTGTCTAATTCTTTTTTTTTTTTTTATTTTTCCTTTTAAAGATTTTAAAGTAATCTCCACACCCATGGTGGGGCTCTCCCTCACAACTCTGAGATCAAGAATCGCACACTCCACTGAACCAGCCAGGCACCCCTCTCTATACCCGTCCAATTCTGGATTTAAAACTTCGTTGCACATTTTGCCCAACTGTGCTTTCAACTTCACATGCAGCATAACAATTACATGTAAGTCTCAGGAAGAATGAAAATTTTGTTTTTGATGATGACAACCTTGAGACAGACTATATTTTAACTTCATTATTACAGTTAATCATGTATAAACATCCCTGAAGAACAACCTTTTGAGTTTCAAGATAGCTAAGATGAGATAGACATTATCTAACTCGACCTCCCCAGATGTGAAGACAATTTAACGGGTATAAATTTCAGCAATGACACATGCAAAAAGATGTAAAACTTACCTACAGCTCAAGAATTCATAGGAGCATTTACTGAATCGTACCTGGCTAGTTGGACCAGTCGGCTAGGTGGTTGGACTTCAGAAATGTTTTCTAAGATATTGTCCACACCCTGAGCCATAATTTTGTATGAAAAACCCAAAGGACAAAAGAAGTTTAAAAAAAAAAAAACTGAACTATCTTTTAAAATATTAGGACAATCGGGGGCGCCTGGGTGGCGCAGTCGGTTACACGTCCGACTTCAGCCAGGTCACGATCTCGCAGTCCGTGAGTTCGAGCCCCACGTCAGGCTCTGGGCTGATGGCTCAGAGCCTGGAGCCTGTTTCCGATTCTGTGTCTCCCTCTCTCTCTGCCCCTCCCCCGTTCATGCTCTGTCTCTCTCTGTCCCCCCAAAAAATAAATAAACGTTGAAAAAAAAATATTAGGACAATCAATAAAGTGTTTAACTTTCACGTTTTGTTTTCCAGGCGTGACTAAAGGACAGTTATGTAAAAGTTATCTATAGCCCGAGATCATCATATTCACTAAACAGTCCAGTAGAAAATTAAAAAATTAAAAAGGCAGGACACAGTTTCAGAAATACACAAACCAACGATTAACAAATAAAAGTCTAAAACTCTTCACAATCTACAAAGCTTCCCTTTTTAAGAAAATATGAAGATTACAGAAAAAGCATGCGAAAGAGAAATGGGAGAAACCGATTACAGAAAATTTCATACAGTGAAACTTGTAATAAGCCCCTCTCCTCATCCCACCTCTACAAATCCTAAGTGCTGTTTGCATCTACTGACAATTCTACTTCTTAACCTAATCATAACAAACCCTTTGTTATCATTATGTCACTGGTGTCCTTATATTTAAGTTTTTCTTATGTCCAAGCACTTCCCAAACTGGCAAAATGAGATGTGAACTTCAGGGACCTGTGGTCCCATGAGTAACATGACGCCCCCTCCCACCAATATTTTGAAAATTAACTTACAAATTTGTTACTGTCTGAATAAAGCACACTTTCAAATTTAACATATTAAGTATTACCCTTTGGAAAGCAAACGGTTATGTAACACCTACTTTATGCCTCTCAATTAATTACTTTAGAACCATAAAGAAAGCTTTTTCTTTTTTCAAGGTAAGTAAGTACTGCCCATGCTGCAATTTTCCTTAAAGACTGCAGTTTTCCCAAGGAGAGAAAAGAATTTTAATTCTAAATTGCCAAGAATATAATATCCGTTTTCCTAGGGAATGAGGAATGAGAAAAATATATTGTCAGCAATTTTAAGATCCACCTCCTCACGTAAGCTGTAATCTGGGCCGATATGACATTTCCGAAATCCTCAGTAACTACATACCATGCGGCCGCAAATATCAGAAGAGAAATCGGGGATGGATGAAATGCCATCCTGCATTTGACGCTGTAGTAATACCTATTTCAAACTTGACACTCCTCCGTTATCTCCATGTAGCTTCACAACTACCTTAAGAGGTAAGAGAGCTGACCGCCCAGCGCCTCCATGGGACACACAACCCGGTTAAAGGACGCGCACGCCGTTACACCTTCAATTGGAATAACAAAAAAAGACGACAAGCCCTTCTAGACTCCAGGAGAAAAAAAAAAAAAAAAAAGAGTAATACCGCCTGGAGATACCCAAACTTCAATCCTTTAAGCAGTGCCCCCTCCCCGCAGTTTCGCCTACTCAGTGGCCCCGGGGAACTGCGGCGGGGCTGCGGGGCTGCGGGGGAGGGGCCGCGCGGGGGGCGGGGGAGAGCCGCCGGGCCCGCGCACACTTCTCGCACCTGGGCAGGGGCGGAGGGGAGCGACGATGCTCTGGGGACACCCCTACCCACCAGGCCAGCAGCTCGGACTCGCTCACCTGCGGAGCCGATTTCCATTCATGGAGCTGGGGGGAGTGCTTCGAGCGAGAAGGGCGCCCACCACTGGGGGCAAGGAGGCAGCGCAGGGGGCGACGAGGCGCGACAGGCACCCTCGTTCGGCCCCGAGGCGAGGTGGTGATGGCTTCTCCTCAGCTACCGCACTCCGAAAGCTCTCGTCAGGAAGAGCCGCCGTGGGGAGGCAGCGTGCGACTAGGCGAGAGGAAGGAGAAGCGTGAATCGAGGAGAGGAGAACCCCGTGCGGAACTTGCGTCGCCCGCGGCCGCTTACGCTCCCACTGCCCCTCCACGACTGCGGCGCCGCCGCCGACCTCCCCGGGGGCCGCCCCCGGAAGCCCGCTGGCGTCAGTTCCGCTGCCCGGACTCGCCCGACGTCCAAGCCTCGCCTCTCCGCCCCAAGCCGTGCGGGCGCGACGTCGGTGCGGGCGCGGCCGGCGCGGAGGAAGCGGGGGAGGTGTCAGGGAGCCGGCGCCGAGTCTGGGCGGGGCGTGGGGCACGCGCGACGGGCGGGCGGGCCCTCCCACGGTCTTCAGCAGTACCGTACCGGCCGGAGACAACTCGGAGGGGCTGGACTCCTAGCACCACCCTAGTGCTGGGCCGTGCCGGCTCAGCTACAACGCTGAGGGGGTAGCTTACCTGGGGAGGAGCCTACCTGGAGCGTGGCCGGTCTGAGGAGCAAAGCCCGGACCTGCAGCTGAGTGACTAGGGCAGAGCACGTCCAGGGCAGAGCCACCCTCCTTAAGGAGCCCCTCCCGCCACGCCCAGCCTGGGCGGCACCACGCGCCTCCTCCTCAGCAGGCGGTCAAGTGACCACCATAATTGATCACTCCAAGTCCGTGGGTTGCTTTGACGACCATTTTGGGGGGGGGAGGGGGTGCAATTTAGCTTGGGAAAAGAGGATTGAGAGGACATTACACAACGTATCGGATAATTTCCTTGTTTGAAACGCTTTAATAGCGTCTCATCACGCTGAGATCACGCTTTCCCGGTGCCAAAACGCACCGCGTAAACGGGCCCTTCCTTTCTCCTCAAGCAAGACTTTTCCTCATCACTATGCTACAGCTATACTGATCTGCTAATTCCCACAACAGGCAAAGCGCTTCCCTTTCCGACCTGGCGCCCCTCTTCCCTTGGCCAGGAACAGAGCCTCTCCTTTTTCTTCACACTCACCTTTTCTTCCCTCTCCAGCCCCGCGATGCTTCTTTTTATACCTCAACCTAAGACTTATTTCAGAGAGGTCTTTTCCGGATCACCGATCTATGATGGGGGCCCGTTTTTCTATCACAGCATTTCCTTAATAATCCTCCCAATCTGTAATTTGTTTTGCTTACTAGTTTGTGTGCCCCCTCCCGCACTAGTTTGTGAGCTTTGTAAAATTACGATGGCCAGCACACTCGCTAGGAAATAGTAGGTCCTTCATATGTTGCCTTAATGAGAGGTGATAACTATTTAAGGCTGAAGAATGATTCCTGATTTTTGCCTATATCCCAAACATCAGTAGGAACATCATTTAGACTTTTAAAAATCAAAGTACTTTTGCTTTTTAAAGCTTGAAACAAAGAGGAAAAGGAGAAAAAATATCCTATCTTCAGTGCCACCCTCCCCCCCCCCCCCATCACTTAAGTCACCGTGGGACTTTGCATCAATCACTAAGCCTCTGGGCTTGTTTTCTTATCTGAGAAATGGAGAGAAATATACCTTATATAATGGTTAATGAAGTTAGGGAATGTATATAAAGCAGAGAAAATCCTCCCTAACTACATGCTAGTGAATAAAAAAAGTTTACTATAGTTAACATTTTAAAGCACTTATTACATGCACCTATTACAATAAACATTTCATAAATGGATGGGATTCAAACCCACCTCTGACTTCAATTCTGCCTTTCTTCTTCAAACCATTAACCCTTTTACAGAAAATTTCCATTTCAAAATATTAAATGTCACCAAATGAAACACTGTATCCTAAATTTTCAATACCTGACTACACAGAATCCAAGTCAGTAGCAGCATCCCAACAGGGTAAATACCAACTCTTGTGCAAGGTTCTATCACACCCTCAACTTCCCATTCTGGAACTGATTCCAGACTAAGTGACTGACTGCAGGCTTCACTGTCATCTCCCAGAACAGACATGGTTATGGTGATGAGCACTTGAGGGGCAGGCACTGTCTTCTTTGTTGACATTGATGAGGCAGGATTTGGACCTCCTAATTCAGTCCAATTTAATGTCAATAAAGCCTTCCCATCTGCTTCTGCTATTCAGGGACTTCACCACCTCTTTAGAGTGAGCCCATGTAAAAGATTCATGAATTGTAATATCAAGTAGGAAGGCAAGAGGTCCAATAATTCCGCCAAAAGCAAGCTGTAAGAGGCTCTCCCCTGACCACATGCATACCCTATTTTTGGATAACCTCATTCCCAAATGAGTTGGCCCTTAAGGCCATAGAGCAGGGTCTTTGTGTATTTAACTGTCATAGCCCCAGTGCCTAGTGCTTAGCCTATGTGCCCCAATGCCTGGCACATAGCTACATTCCATAAATATTTGTGGGACGGATGGATGAATGAATGAGCTTCAAGAATGGGGCTCAGGCTAAAAATCTGTCCTTATCCCTTGTGGCACTGCTTGCTTTCAGAAGGGAGAACTATAAAATACTACAGGCATTTAAGGAACACGGAAATCCATGCCCTCTGAAAGTTGCATTCCTAGGCTTCCTGTACTAGATAAACATCACTGGATGATCCTCAACTTGACTCAAGTTCAGAAATATTCTCCTGGACCATCAGTTTTTGTTTTTCTTTCTTTGAGACCATCAGTTTTTATACAGCAGAGAGAAAGCTATTTTGTACTGCAGGAGAACACAGTATAAAACATATTGGCCTTTGGGACAGAGCTGAGACTGAGGCCCACTGCTACTATATATGATTCCAAGAAAGTCACTCTCTCTGAACCTCACATTCCTCATCTCTAAAAGCCAGAGCACCTAGGCAGACACTGCTGAATGCCTACCCAGGAGTCCTTATCCCCTTCTTTCTTGCGTAGCAGTCAAAACTTGTCTTTCTAATCCACATGACTCAGAGGATAACTCCTAATCTAAGCCACTCATGATAGATGATCTCATTTGCTTTCCCAGTGGCAGGAGTGGGAAGATGACCCATTTCTAGTGAATGAGACAGGCCAGATCTGCTGGGGCTTCCAAGGATTGCCTTATTTGCACTTCTTTCCTGGAATTACAGTAGCCACTTTGGGACACTGAGGTGAACTAGTATGCAGATAAACCAACACAGAATAGCAGAGGAAAGTGATTGTAAGAATCTGGTTTGTTGGTATTATCACCGAGCGACTGAATTAGCCAATCTTGGAGCCATATTAAATCAAGACTTCTTTGTAGTAAGTTTCTTATTTAAGCCAATATAGTTGGGGGTTTGTTATGTGCAATTGAATGTGATAATGTTATGTGATAAACTACTTCACATGAATGCCGTGAAGATACATAACAACATACTGTACAAAACACCTAGTCAAATACTTCAAAGTACCCAAGCACCTCCTCCTTTTCAGGTCGCGTCCATTAACAAGCCATAGGCCTTTTCCAAAAACATGGCCGGGAACTCCCAGTCTCTTCTAAGAGGAAAGTTCCTCGCCTTCAGAAGGTGGGGAAGAGGGACAGAGGGCTCCCTAGAAAGGTCCCAGTTGGCTTCCTTGTCCCAAAAAGACATTGCCAAGAGGATAGTGCTGAAGCTTCTGCAGTCTAGAACAAAGGGACAGTCTGTTCCTACAGGGTAAACCACAATGGTCTAAAAAAACCTTGAAATGGTATCCTGGGGAAGGCAGTTGTGGTGCTAAGTGGGGAACTTTTAAATGTACCTCATCCCCAGCAAGTCCACTTTCCCAGTTCCTCCTTGATAGTTTAAAGGAATGCTTCTGTCATGCTCTGCGGCTTCTAAGCTTGCCACATTTCCTCAGCCTATAGCCAGAGGAACAAACTGGCTTGAAAGCTAGAAACAAATAGGTGAGCTATCTGCTACAATTTAATGCTACTTTCCATTCAAGCAGTACAGGCAGCAGTCTGGGGATGGCCCAGGCTCAGAACTTGAAACCAGTCCCCTCTTTGCACTACATAACTCTTTCATTTAGCCACCAAACCCTAATTGCCAGGAGATTTTGGGTTTTGCTAAGCCAAGAGATACCCAACAAATAGCCTCATTTTGTTACAAGGCACTTCCTAGATAAGAATGTGCTACAGTGTATGTTGCCAATTGCCAGGGCAAAGGAAAGGCTGCTCAACCAATACTAAAGAGGGATGTCCAGGGATGTTAGGACAAGCTTTAACTCAAAAAAAAAGCTTGAGCTCCAGGACCAAACAAATTAGGCCTTTGGTTCCCACTGTCTTTTTCTCTTGAGTAAGCAACCAAGAGGCAAATTCTGAAATCTTTGAACATCCATTTCTAAAACTGAAATTTGTCACAAAAATGTGTCATAATGATCATCCTCCCACTTACTCTGCTAAATACTTTATTTCTGCTTCATTGAGGGGCATAGATATACTTTAAGTTTTATTTTAACTGGGACAACGCTCCATGTTCCAATTTCCTCAAGTTTGATCAACCTCACTAACCCTCGTTGCTGAAAAGGAGCTGGGTACGGTCGGCTTGCTCTCAAGGGAATCTGACAGGTGGTAGACACAGGTTAGCTTTGCAGTTTGAAGTCACAACACTTGGCCTCCAGAGGAATGTTAGGCCCATTTATGTACACACTAGCTGCCACTGAAAATTTCTCACTGGGCCTTGTGCCAGAATCCATCTCTGAGCCATCTTCCCCCATCACACAGAAATAACAGTGCTCTAGCACTACCAGGGAGGAATGCCAGAACTTACATGCTTGACAACGGTACCATCAGATTGAGGTACAAAACCACAGAATCACCAAGTTGGGACGAGAGTAAGAAAGATGATGGTAATCTGGTTAAGTTTCTGCTTACCTGAAGAGTCAGGAATGCTGAGTCCATCCTGTGCACTCAATATCACTTCTTGACTCCCCCCTCTGTACTCACAAACCAAAAATTTCTACATCATTTCAATTCTATCCACAAATATTGATCCCTAGATATATATTCTA